CTACTCGAGAATGACTGCTCTGATAAAAGCTTACATCGCCGGAGTTTCCAGAATTTACTTGAAGGGATTGGTCTTGCCTTCCTTCTGGAGCTGAAAATTGGTCACTATTGATTGGCGTAAAAAATATTATTAGGAATATTGGACTTACTTTGCGGCCAAGAGACAACAGGGTAACGCAGACGGAGAACAGATCACGAGCTTCGAAAAGATCTACACTTTGGAAGGTTTCCTCAGTTGGGACTCCAAGCTGAAACCACAAAATAGTTTTAAAGATATCTTTCCTAATCATATCGTTCTTGGCTGCTAGGAAACTAAAGGAGCCGAGCTGCTAACCATTGGAGAATGAGTTTGAAAACCTCACCAAAGCATGCCCAGTACTCGAAAATTTAATCAGAGACCCCGAAAGGATAAAAGCTAAGTTGCACATTAACTGGTTAAGACAAGCCCTTAGTCGGCTAAGTAGACCTCCAAACGGGAAACAACTTCTACGACGCTCCAAACACTTGCTAGACTGCTAGACAACCACAAGAGGAAGGGTCAACTTCTCCTCGAAGGTTCTGCAGGAATTAAATAGGGTGTCCCTTATCCTATGTAATCACGAATTTCATAAATGGAATTACTGAACACTGAGGTGGTGCTGCTGGTGCCCCGGATCTAGTCGTTCAGGTCGTTCGGTTTGACAGCTGACATATGAATCTTTCTGTTTACCACGCAGCAAAATAGAACTGTGCTTGCAAAAGATTTTGCAATGGTTAGCCTAACGTCAGGCGAAATCTGATACATGATGTATAGAAAGGTTTTGAACAAACACTAAACTTTTTCCACACTCCTCTTGACCCAATCGATTTTCTGATCATCTAACATTTTCTCACCGCAACTGCTCACCTGTGGTCTCTACTGGAAAAACCTGTTTTCGAGCGAAACACCCATTATGTACCTTTACACTGCTCTATGTGGGATTTTACTATTTTGGCTATGTGCGTCAAGGAAACTAGGACTGAGAGAAGGCGGGACAGAGCGGGAAGATTATTACATAGCAGAAATTCTTGAAGAGATCGCACCCCGAAGGCTAAGTATAGAACAGAGTTAGGAGTTTAGGACAACAACTTGGCTAATCCTCCTTAAACCTCCTTAATTTGAACCGTGCTCCTCCAAGAATTCTAAAACCGGAGATGTGACTGAAAGTAGATTCAGTGGTGCACTGTTCCCTTTGACTCCTGTTCTCTGATGCTTTTATGCTCCCAGGCCGTTCATGGTTCAAAATTGTTGACTTTACGTTACTGGTATTTTTTGGAAATGTTCTGAACTGGAACATTTTTTCTTACAATAATATCTCACCTTCTTAGCTGCTTCTACGAAGGCATTGATGTTTTCCATGCAGGCAAAGTTTGAAATTGGCTTTTGGATTTTCTTCACAATTCCTGGCTCAATACCATTGGCCATTCTAAAAATAGCACACACTTATAATTATGTCTAAGTATTCTTAAAGTAAAGGGGGATTTATACCATTCGTCTCGATGATTCCAAACTTTTTCAGGCGGATAGGGAGGCATGACGCACTCCTTATCCAATTACTTTGCGATTTTTGAGACTTTCTGCTGACCTTTGGAAATTAATCTTATGTCTTCAACAAAATGCTTCCTCGAACAGCTTAACACAAGAGTAAGCAACAGCTGTGCTCGCTTTCAAAGTAACACAATGGTTACCAACAGTTGTCCTCCCACTTAGTCACCAAGTGACCTCGCAAGAGCGACAACAATCTAATCTACGATTTACACCACAATCTATCTTTAACCAGCTTTACCACATCTCTTTGCCCTATAAATATTGTATCGCAATATCCCAGAAAACCCACAAAACAATTGCAAGCACTACCAAGTTGCTAGTAAGACATATGGTCCTGGATGCTTCACGTAACCGTAAAATTCTCTTGAAGGGTGAAGAGGAATCCTACCGTGTCTTATGATCCTATTATTACTGACTATTACAACTAGGCTAGGGTTTTTTCCTGGCTTTTAGTGACCATCAATTTCCAGTCCTGGCGATTACCCAGAATTTCTAAAAACATAGCGCCCTATTCTACCAACTGCTATCGAATTTTGGATAGCTGTGCTGACTCATTATCTGAAAAATAGACATCAATTTTACATGCTCGCAATTAATCCACACCCTTTGGGCTATGAGTTTTGGGCCTTCTTTTAGAGCTGAGAAAGCAGTGAGAAACAACAATAACACACACTAACAGCTAAGACATTCTCCACCATGGTTTCAGGGAAATTCCGCTAAGCTTTTATATACATATTTACTTATCGCCTGATAGCCTGCCTCTTTACTGAGCCAACCCAGTAAACCAATGAATTGGTTAACCATACAGCTATACCCGAAAAAACGCAAACCGATTGGTTTCTTTATTGGAAGGAGGAAGGGACCAAAGTGGCCAAGGTCTACGCGAATTTCAATCTGTTCCCAGTCTAGCTCCAGATATCAGGATTATCTGGGTAATCAATCCTCGCTGTCCCTGTCTCACAGGAAGCTCGGAAGTGTTGGGCATACTGAGCGGCTGGTCTCACTAAAACCAATTGGTTCTTTTATTGCTGCCTCACCTGGTGAAGGGGAGGAACCTGCAACAGAGGACGGCATATTGGTCTTTTCTCAGTATATCCAATGCGTTCGAGCACATATACAAACATTAGCCTTTACAATGTTTTGAATTCAGGATTCATAGTTTAGCATGAACTCGTGCTTATGAGACTCTCCTGAGAGCGTAGGGCCCGTCAGCCTTAGCGGCAGTTCGGACAATATAGCCCTACCGAGATTATCTCCCCGATCACGTCCACTCTCCTCCACCGTCCCCGTCGTACAGCATTTCGGACTGGTTCCAATTTAAATGATGTGCGGCAGCTCTGAGGAAAAATGTCGATGTAG